GATTGGGAGAGGCGTAGGGAAAATATAAACTCATCTCGAAGAATTAATAGTTTGAACTAATTCGAAAATTTTGCTACTATCGTCGGCTGAAAGAAGAAGAAGAAGGGTTCATGATTGATGACGGGAGAGGGATTTCTGTAGAATGATCGATATTTAGATTATTGATTTATGATAATTGTTATTTTGTAATGTAATTAATTTATTAATTATGAATTTAAAATTAAGTTTCAAATCTGCACTAAAATGACCTTTTATGTAATTTTACATGTAACCCAAAATCGTACTCCATTTTATTGAGATCGTACTTATCTCATGTGGTGCAATTTTATTGGAAGATTACGGTCCGAGAAGTACAACCCTCTCGGACCCTAGACAATCCCTAATTTTGTTGATCTCTTCGTGCCATCCTAACAAACTTAGAAAATCAGCAAATTCGTCGTAAAAAAACTTGTGGTTTATAAACAAACTACTTTACATGATCATACTTTGCATGCAATGTAAGTGTTTAATTATAATTATTCTAATTAAATGTTCTCGGAAATTACCCCCACCTCTTGGGGTAACGTCCATTTACGAAAAATCCCACATTTTCCCATCATAACATCCATCCCCTGCAATCTGTAAATTTCTTACATTAACACGATTTTGTACAGGAGTGGATATAAGAAATTCCCAAATAACAGGGGGTTGGATGCAATTTCTCAGAAATAAAGGGTTTTTTTCGTAAATAGACATTACCTCATAAGGAGGTGGTTGTAATTTACCCATTTATAGAAATCTATCATTTTTTGCTAAACTGAAAAATCCGTACATTGATTTCTCAGCCGCATCCTTTTTATTTCTCCCTATAAGAAAACTGAAAATTGTTCAATAGAAAATTCATTCTTTATGTGAATAAAAACCATAAAGAACTGGATTTTATTGTGCATATATATATATATATGTGTATGCTGTATGAATTAAAGGGTAATTTGCTATAGGTCCTCTTATAGTAGATTTTATGTGTATAAATCCAACTAATATATTCTTATTTTAATTAACTTTGTTGCACTTATTGTGTCTGAAATACCCCTAATAATATATGGAATAAAAATCCGATAATAATAGACCACTTAATATTTGATTTTTGTCCCAAAATATACGTAGCCAACCCCTTTCTAAATCCCCCAATTCCCAAAAATCTTTAAATTAAAACACATCGGCAGAGATGAAAATTAACCCATCCGAAACCGATTTCCGAATTAAAAACCCTAACAAAAAATTGCATTGCGTATTAGCAAGGGTCTTCAGATCGTTTGGAATCCTCAAACTTCGTTTACTGTTTGTTGTTTGTGATGTGGTAATTGTTTGTTCGTTCTTCGTTTGCTATTTTGGAGCTTTATTTTCGTTTTCGCTTTGTTTGGTGTTTGCGATTTTCACTCCCCCTGGAAACAATGGTCCAAACACGTATCAATCTCGGTAAGCAATATATGTTACGGATACTATGCAGAAAAGTAAAATTGTGGGTATGTAATTAACTTTTTACATTTCTCCCGTTTGTTTTAGATGTTTTGATGATGATTTAATGACATATGTTATGTGTCTTTTTTTCATCTCAGGATTTTTGTTTGCTGATATTGGAGTATCGATGTCGTCCATTATACATACATTTCAGAAGTTTCGATTTAAATATTTTGTACAGGCCGTACTTTTTATATTGTTGTTTGCATTTTTTTTTTTTTTTTTGCAGTTGCTTATTAAACAATTAGTTGTTATAGTTGTTTGTATTTTTTATTCTATGAAATTTGCATTACATTGTGCATTATTGAATTTTCATATTCATCTTTATTAGTTGTTCTTGTGATGGTCTGCATTTTGTTTTTCTCGAGTTCTGCTATTTATTGTTATTCACTTGGTTTGCAATTTGCTATTCCTTTATAATTGAACCAACATGTTCTTGTTTGCAAATTTTGTTTGCAATTTGAAGCCTCTTGTTTACAGTTTCTTGTTTGATATTCATTGTTTGCAATTTCTTGTTACTTTGAAATTATTGTTTACAATTGCAGTTATTGTTTGTAATTTGCTATTTTCAGGTTCATTCTTGCAGTTGAAAATCTTAATGATTGTTATTTTTTTTGTAACCGTTCAAACAATTACGTCACAAAAAAAGGGGGAGAAAACATTACATGACTCCTCAACAACTTCCCGAAAGGAAAAAAAACAACATCAAATCAGACTACAAAGGAAGACCTGAAAAAGAACAACTTTCGTCGAGTACATTGCAGAATAGCACTGCTTGCAACTACCTTTGATGATTCAGCCTGCAAAAATGAATTTGAAACTATTTTATTCATTAGATCTTAACAACAACTACGCCATTAACTTTCATTAGAAAATTGTAATTTTTGGCTTGTATCTTGCAGAAATTTGTGCTTCATGTACTAACTTGTTACTAGTCATTGTTGGTTTTTGTCATACCATCTTTTGTTCCATATTTTAGGTTTTAAAACTATTTCATTTTCTTCGGAGCAAAAATTGCACATGAGTAGTGCATTTTGAACATAGAATCATTAGTTGCATATTGTTGTTGTGTAAAGACATTGTAAAATAACATTTTAAACATAGCCTAGTTGGTTTCAAATTCTATTTGTTTTGATCTTTATTTGGTTGTTGCAAATTGCAGTTTGTTTATCCTTCCTGTTGTATTTCTCGCTTTGTTGTAGCAATTTGTATATTGCAAAATGTATTTTGCATTTTGCAGTTACAACTTGAAAATATATAAAATTTGATGGATAAAAAATTGGATAATGAAAAATAATGTCGAAAATTATGCAAATACATGTATGAAATCCTACAAAAATGTGACAAGTATATTACATTGATTTTATGACGTTAAATATGCGTTTCAAATTCATTTTGCTGTTTACTTAAGCATAATTAATTAGAAAATGCAAATACAAATTATAAGCCTACTACAAATAACTAATAACAAATAAATATTGAGATAGAAAAAGAGGGGGAGAGAGATTCACGTGAGAGAGAGTGATATATATATATATATATATAGAGAGAGAGAGAGAGAGACTCACGTGTGATGTTGTTAGAAGAGGGGAGTGATATGTGGGATTTGTTCCCTCATTTTCCATAAATATGTATTTTTATATAAATATTAATTAAGGATATTTATGTCTATATACTATTATTTTAATTTTATTTATATTATTTTTTTGGTTCAAATGACTTATATCTATATTCGTCTACCAATTTGAATTTCTATATATAAGTATAAAATAAGGGGTGTCTAGTCAATTTCCCATGATTTAATTTCATTCTTGTATTAATAAATAGAGCTAAAAAAAATCTAATTCAGATACAAGTATTGATTTATGAGAAAAAGGAAATAGTGGGACTGGATTATATCAATCAAATTAATTATGATTACAAGATCGTATTATAATATGGCACGCTTGAATAACCAAATTGGGATAGCCATTTTGATCCTCAATGATTAAGGATTGCATAGACAGTATTTGCGACACTCATAAATCATAATTATGTATATGGAAATGGTTAACATATCATATATTAATTCACTTATCAAAACAAAATCATTTGTGCATAATGATTTCACACGGTGAGGCGTTATTGGTCCCGGAAACATTTTGTACTTCACAATTTGATATAGTAACGATATAAACAACTATACAACAAAAAAAAAAATTGACGAAGAAATTAATAGCTTAATAACCACGGAAAAGGAATCTCAAAATACTCGGACATTTATCTAATTTCAGGAAGTTACAATCTCGAAAAACAATAGAGGTTTATTCTTAGATATCCAGGCACATATTAAATCCAGCTATTGCCAATCGTATACTTTATACGCATCATTTGGAGGATTATCTTCGGAGTGGTATATACCATCACTCCTTGCTTCCCAATAGCATATTCCTTTGTTGTCTTGACAAGTTCTACTATTGTAAACATCAAAAGCTCTTTGTTTACCGTTCCACCAAAGATGGCAAAAGAATAGGGTACGTCCGTTAAAGCAAAATTTAAAGTGAAAATCCTGACCGTTGGTAAGCGTATGATTTCCTAAATCATCGTCCCCAGATGCACAATGCATGAACAATTGTGGAGAATTTGGAGGGAGATTGTCCACAACTTTGACTTTAACATGGGCACCCCAAAAACAAACAGACATTGTTTGGACAATGAAAGATGAAATCAGGAAGGTTTGTAACAAATACTTATTCATAGTATTAAAATACATGTTTGATATTATGATGACATGATTCGTCTTTCCTCTGATTTTTATAGGTAAATAGTTTGCTTTACCCTGATTTGCAAAACAAGATGGTATTTGAAATTGGGGTTAATGGCATATTGCACCCCGAACTTTGACGCATTTTGCACGTTACACCCTAGACTAAAAAAAATTGCACGATGCCCCTCAATTGGAGTACCGATCATGAAATCGAGAATTTCCGGCAAAAAATGCACGTGAATTTTTCAAGGGCAAAATTGGTAAATTTGGCTGGAAATTCTCGATTTCATGATCGGTGCTCCAAATAATAGAGTTTGAAAATAATTTTTTTGGATCTTGGCAAAAAAATTCTCTCTCTATGAGAGGCGATTTCTTTTTCTCTCTCTATGAGAGGCTGCGGATCTCGTGTCTTGATCTGATCTCTGGGAGTGATCCTTATCTTTTTTCTCTGAATCTCTGGAAGACCCGATCGTTTGAATTACATATATTGTTTTATTACTAAAAGATTTGATTGCGTATCTCTTTTTCTTTAATATTAGGATTTCTTTTGTTTTCCTTTTCTCGTTTATTTCATCTCATTTCTCCTCTCTCGCTGTCCCTCTCCTTCCCATATTGCAGATCCTATTGCTGATCAAGCGACGCCGCCACGATCCAATTGAAGTGACCCCCCTCTCATCTATTTCCAAACTCTCGCATGGAGGACATCACTGAAACCCTTGCCCATAATTTCCATCTTACATCTGAAGAAGAAGAAGGTGTAGTGATTGAGCAACAGCCCACCACTGCTAGGGTTACGATCTACAATCATGTCTTGGTTGGAAGAGTAGTGTCTGCTAGAGAGATATCGGCGCATACCATTAAATCCAATATCCTCCGTCTGCTACAACCGGTCAAGGGTTGCATTGTCGACCCGCTGCCCCAAAATCGATTTGTGTTACAATTTGAACACCCTGTTGATTACAAACATGCATTATCTGGATGCCCTTGGCTCTTGGAGAAGAATGCCATTATCCTTCAAAAGATGGATCTAGATTCAGATCCTACCACCGCAAATCTGAACCTCTTGCACATCATTGCTCGGTTACACAACATTCCAATAAGGCAGAGGTGTGATGAAGTGGCAAAACTCATCGGCGACAAACTTGGTAAATTTGTGGAAAGGCCATCCCAACGAACCAACGACCAACAAAATTGGATGCGAGTGAAAGTGCAGATTGACGTCTCGCAAAAACTGAAAAGAGGCATGTACCTCCATGAAGCAAACGGGAATAAAGTGTGGGTTACCGTTACGTATGAAAGATTGCCCAATTTTTGTTTTCTATGTGGGATTCTTGGACATGGGGCAGGAAAGTGCCCACTTCGATATGAGGAGGGATTTATAGATCCGGGGGAAAATCTTCCTTATGGGACTTGGCTGCGAGCATCGACGGATCCTTCACGAGAGACTTCACGGCTCCCTTTGCAAGCTAACCATCACAGCAAAGCCTCTCTGGCACCACGCGGCAGTGGAATATTTAGCTTTACATCTCCAGGAAGAGACCAAATCGGACAGGTTGAGTGCGCACAGGGTAAAGAGAATACCATGATGCCTTTGGTTGACGATAGGAATCTTATTACTAACAAGGTTCATATACTACAAGTAGAGGATATGGAGGCTGCAACTCGCAAATTTATCACGGTTCCCCAGAAGAATCGTAAGAAAAAAGCAGCTGATGTCTCGGTTCATGATACTTTTCGGCAAGGAAAAAAACCACATCTTCACCTCATGGACGAAGAAACTAGCTCAACGGCGGAGACTGCTACGCAGTCCCGCCGATCATCATGAATTGTTTATTTTGGAATTGTCAAGGGTTAGGGGTTCCCTTGACAATCCACACACTCGGAGACATCCTCCGACGGAAAAACCCTAACTTGGTGTTTCTTGCGGAAACAAAAGCAGCACCAGGCTTGGTGGAGAAGTTAAAACGGAAATGGAATCTTAACGGAATCGGAGTTGATAGGGTGGGAAGGGCAGGAGGACTAGCTTTGCTGTGGCAAAAGAATTCGGAGGTGAGTCTGATTAGCTTCTCAAACCATCATATTGACGCGGAAATCATCCTACCAGGATCAAATACGAAAGGAAGAGTCACAGGTTTTTATGGCTACTCGGAGCGTCATCTACGTCATCTGTCGTGGGAATTACTTACAAGTTTGAGAGACAACCGATCTGTTCCATGGATAGTAGGTGGCGACTTCAATGAGATATTGAATAACACAGAGAAAGAGGGTGGCATTTCTCGATTGCCCGGCCACATAGAAGCTTTCCGAGATGCACTAGAATTCTGCGAGCTCACGGATATTGGGTTTGAGGGTTTTCCGTACACGTGGTCCAATAATCGAGAAGCACCTGACACAGTCCGTAGTCGAATTGATCGTGTTTGCGCTAACAACGCTTGGCTTCATCTTTTTCCGCAATCACGTGTTCAACATCTTGAGCTCCCAGGATCGGATCATGTGCCGATACTTTTTGAAGGATGTTGTCCATCCCATTCCTTTAATCGACGAACGAGACGACCCTTCCGTTTCGAGGCTATGTGGATAAGGAGGGATGATTGCGAAGAGGTTATCCGTCAACAATGGGAGAGTATTTCCAACTCAAACCCGGTCGAGGACTTGCTACTGAAAAACGAGGGTTGCCAGATCGCCTTACAATCGTGGAGTAAATCGACACTTAGTCAGCCCCAACGCCGTATCGAGAAAATTCAGAAAAAGATGCACGCGCTGAGATGTGGACTACAAACGGAGAACAGCAAATTGGAATTACAGAACCTCAAAAAAGAATTGGAGGAAGTGTATGAAGAACAAGATCTGTATTGGCGTCAGCGTAGCAAGATTCAGTGGATTCGAGAGGGAGATCGAAATACAAAGTTCTTCCATGCTAAGGCTACGATGCGGAACAAGAGCAATAGAGTTAACCGAATCAGAGACAACTCCGGAGATTGGGTGGCAACAGACAGTGGAATTGAGGACGTCATCTCGCGCTACTTTGGTCACATTTTTTCATCAACCAATCCACGGGACGAGGAAATAGATGAGGTGTTGGGTCATATTGAGAGGAGAGTTTCGGACGAAGCTTATCAGCAACTTTCTGAACCTTTCACCGAGGAGGAGGTAACTCGAGCCATCTCTCAGATGGCTCCCCTTAAATCCCCAGGGCCTGATGGTCTGCCAGTTCTCTTTTATACGAAATACTGGCACATTATCGGATCCGACGTTATTTCTTGTGTTCTTGATTTCTTAAATAACCACAATCTTCCCCCTTTGTTGAATTATACCTTTCTTGTTTTAATCCCGAAAGTTAGACAACCTGAAAAAATTACTGATTATAGACCTATTAGCTTATGTAATGTGGTCTATAAATTTGGCTCAAAAGTTCTTGCTAATCGCTTGAAAACTATTCTTGATGATCTCATTTCCCCGAACCAATCTGCTTTTGTTCCTCGTCGCCTCATTACTGATAATGTTTTAGTTGCCTATGAGGTCAATCATTTTATAAAACTTAATAAGAGTCGTAAGTCGAATTATATGGCTATAAAACTCGATATTAGTAAAGCCTAAGATCGGGTTGAATGGAAGTTCTTAGAAAAAGTGTTATATCGATTTGGGCTGCCGCACTCGATGGTTTCTATTATTATGTTATGTGTTACGTCTGTCTCTTACTCTTTCCTTTTCAATGGTGGGCAGTTTGGAGCTGTGAAGCCAACCAGAGGGATTCGACAAGGGGATCCTATTTCCCCCTATCTATTTATTTGCTGTGCCGAGATTCTCATTTCTATGATACACCAAGCATGCAACCGAGGGGAATTGCATGGGGTCAAAATCACGCCATCAGCACCTGTGGTGTCCAACCTCTGTTTCGCCGACGACACCTTTGTTTTTTCCCATGCAACGGAGGACGACGCTATATCACTGAAAAAGATCCTAGAGAAATACGCCCGGCTTTCTGGCCAAGAAATCAACTTTGAAAAATCCACGATGACGTTTAGCCCGAACACGAGCAGTACCAAACGGGACTCCATCTCACGCATTTTAAACTTTGAAGTAGTCGAAAGGCATGAGAAATATTTGGGTATGCCGGCAACAATGGGGAAAACAAGGAAGCAGTTGTTCAGCTATATTCGGGACCGGGTGTGGGCCAAGCTTCGGGGTTGGGGTGAAAAACTTCTCTCTCAGGCGGGCAAAGAAATTCTCATCAAGGCTGTTATTCAAGCAATTCCCACCTACGTTATGAGTTGTTTATTGCTTCCCAAAGGTCTCTTGCTTGATATTGAGAGAGCTGCCCAGCGGTATTGGTGGAGTAGTGGTAACCAGCGGAAGATGTCATGGGTTTCGTGGAAGAAATTATGCGAGACGAAGACAGTTGGCGGTATGGGATTTCGAGATATGTGGTGTTTTAATGTGGCACTCTTGGCGAAGCAGGCGTGGCGAATCTTGACGCGCCCGGATCTTTTGCTCACTCGCATTATAAAGGCAAGATATTTTCCCAATGGCGATCTATTCTCGGCAGATCTTGGGTCCCGTCCATCGGCTACGTGGAGAAGTATTTGCTACGTTCGCGAATACTTATATGGAGGGCTTCGCAAAAGAATTGGCAATGGCCATCAGACTTCCATATGGTCCGAACCATGGCTTGCGAATCCAGGACAATGCCGTATAATTACAAAGAGGCCGACTCACTCAAGTTTCCCCGACAGAGTTTCGGACATTATAGATCCTATTCATCACACATGGAATGAAAATCTAATTAATACTTTCTTTTGGCCTGTTGATAGGAGCCGAATTCTCGAAGTACCGATCGGCCATATGGAGGTGGAGGATAGATGGATATGGAGGTTCTCTAAACACGGCAATTATACTGTCCGTTCGTGCTACCACAATGCACTAACTATGGAGATCACGAAAAAACAAGAGACCGTCGAAGCGAGAAGCTGGACGAAGTGGTGAGGCCTGGGAGTGGTGGAAATACGTCTGGAAACTTCAAATTCCCCCAAAAATAAAAATCTTTCTCTGGCGTTTCTGTTCAGATATATTGCCCACGAACGAGAATCTTTGTCGTCGTAAAATATCTTTCTCTCCACAGTGCATGAGATGTGGAGTTGGGGTTGAATCAGCATTACATGTGCTCCTATCTTGTCGAGATGTGGGCGATATTTGGATCTGCCCGCCGTTTGATCAACTAAAACTGCATTCAAGCCAATCTCATTTGCAATTGTTTGAGCTTCTAGTAACCAACCTGGACAAGGATTCGCTAAACTTGGCCACTACGGTTATGTGGAAGTGTTGGGACCAACGGAACAAAGAAATGCACGGGGAGAACAGGCTACAAGCGGTCGCAATCTTGAGTTGGTGTAGAGAATACCTCAAGGAGCATTCAGAACATCAACTGCGTTCGTCTCTTACACAACCTCAACGACTCCCTACGAAGTGGAAACCACCGGACGATGGAGTGATCAAAATTAATGTGGATGCAAGCTTTCCGCGAGGTGAGACGTATTATGCTACTTCACTTGTCGCTCGCAATTCTAGGGGCGAGTGCTTGTTTTGGATGGTTCACAAGTTCGCCGGTCGGCCAATGGTGGTAGATGGAGAAGCCCATGCTATTCTCAGGGCATTAATCACAGCACAAGAAAAGGAGTGGCCGAACATTATTGTGGAAGGGGACAATTTACAGGTGATAACAGCGCTTCGGGACAAGAATCATTCGGTTCTTCCGTTTGGAGCATTCATTGAACAAAGTCTGTCTTTATCTAGAGTCTTTGTATCTTGTACGTTTGATTTTATTAGACGATCTGGTAATAAATTGGCACATATGCTAGTGTCGATCTATGGTCATTCTTGTAGCGAGGGAGCAACCCTTCCTTCGGACTTGGCGGATATCGCCCAATAATATTGATCGATTCTTCTCAAAAAAAAAAAAAATAATAGAGTTTGGGGCATCGTGCAATTTTGGCTGGAAATTCTCGATTTCATGACCGGTGCTCCAAATAAAAGAGTTTGGGGGGCATCGTGCAAATTGTTTTAGTCTAGGGTGTAACGTGCAAAATGCGTCAAAGTTCGAGGGGCAAAATACCATTGACCCTTGAAATTGTGTAAATGGAGTCAAAATCAGCCAAATCAGCCAACAATCAAATTCCGATATTTCTTGAAAAAACATTACTAGCATGCATTTTTGGGAACATCAGGTTTTAGTAATTTTGACGTTGACAAAATGTAATAATTTGGTATTTTCAAATGAGTAAATCAATTAAATATATGGTATTTGAAATCGGGTAAAGTGTGGCAATTTGTAATTATACAATACGAAACGACCAATTTGGAAATTGAAAGAAATTGTGGTAATTATTAATTATTATATTGCGGGTTTTATGAGAAAGTGTCTGACCACCAACCTTTATTAGTCTAGGTTCATATATTGTCTCTTTTGCCAAGAAACTCACTCTTTCAACATGTATTACAAATAAAAGCATATATAAAACTTATGAATTTTTTTACCCCCAACCCTTTAAACTCACTTCCTATTTGTAAAATGTAATTCAATTCCAATTTCACCAATTTTGACCTTCAAAATTCGATTTTGACTTTCTTATTTTTTTAATTTTCTTTTATAGAAATATTTTTCTTTTCACGCAGGAGACCGGTCCTTTTTTAATTTTTCTTGATATATTTGCCGCTGACTGGCGTTTACTTTTCTTTTTTTGACGATGGTCGGCGGTCAACACAATAATATCATTGTCTAGTACGATAATATTATTGTGTTTGACTGTAATATATATTACTGTACTATTAAGTAATACTAGCATTGTTCCTCGTGCGATGCACATAATATCATCTCAAATGAAAATGTTGACTAGTTTAATACATAATAATAACAATTATAATAAATTTTATTAGTGATATCGGTAACAATATCAATATTTATACAAATTTAATAATACAAACTCATTCAAAAAAAAAAAAAAACTATAAAA